AACTTTTAAAATAATTAATTAATTATATATAGTTTTATTGTTCCGATATATTGATTATCAAAAGGATAAGAAATAAGATTTTGTTAAATTTCGAAAAGCTTTTGTTATAAAAATGCGGAACCAGTTGCAGAAGCGGATTTGAAAATGTATGCGGAACTTCGTAATTGCGGCTGCGGAAGCAGAGGTCTGTTGCAACACTAGTGCGTACTATAACCACTCCTATTCGTAATAACCAATAATAGATAATGATTATGAATATTACTTTAAAAGCATTTTCATTATTTTGGTATTTTTTTCATCTTTCACCTACATTCTTCTTTTGTCAACAAAAGTAAGCCTGTTTACGTAATACATCAACGCTCCCTCATAAATAAATTTCATTCTTGCCTAGCACGAATAAGAGAATAAGTGATTTAAAATCAATTTTGCATTTTGCTTGGGATTTTCATCAAAATGATAGTAATTTTTAACATTCCAAACTTATTTTACTAACGAAAATGTTCCTGCTTTCGGTTTTTTCGAGTTGTTGAAAATTTTGTGGAGAATAAAGATTAGTGTAATCTCCTATTTGTTCGTTTCTAGGAGTGAGAAAAATAGCTAGGCCTAGCCAACCAATTCCTACCATTCGGTTCGTAGTTGACCACCCGTTTATTGTAGCTCTGAAACAAAAATACAACCTCCTTTTTGTTGGACGTGTTGCAAAACCATATAGAAACTGATTGGTTGGTTTATCTTGATTATCCACGATTTTTAATTTTTATTACTTTCCAACGCTTAAAAGGAACTAATTTTTAAATGGTGGAAAAATATTTATGACAATTGTTGTGCATTGTATTCTGTTGATTATTGTAAGAACATTTTGCTCTTTGATGGACTTTTGGTGATAAATATTTTTCTACGATAATAACATTATTTAAACTTTCTTAGGTGCACTTTCTTGTGAAACATTTATTCAATAAGAATTCGAAGAAAAAGAAATACAACAAAACAGTTTTACTAAAACTTTTTATTGTGCTCGACAGTTAACGATTATTTAAGATTTCACGGCTGTCGTCTGAATTCTTATTGATGATCCAACGTTATTGCTATACACGAAACAGAAAGTTTCTGAAGATGTATCATGTGATATAAGACGAAACGTCGAAACACTTATCTAACTGTCATGGAGATTTCATCAATAAGACGCGACTAAAATCCGAAATTACAGTTTCTTCATTATCAATAATGTTATTTACTAATAAACGATAAAATAGTAATATTGCATTAATCAGAACAATTGTCGAGATCAATAAATAAATGTAAAACTTCTTAGTCTACAAGAACTGTTGAAACTGACTACCCCCTTCTTCTGTTTGGTTGCCGAACTCTTCCTAAAACAATTGTGTCGTTTCTTATTGATTCCGATTTCTTTAATCTTTCACATTTTCTACTACTTAAATAGCTTCAAATAGTTATCGGAATAATTGTTAAAACAATAAAACGCACTTTTATCGTTTTAGTTCTCGGTTACTCGGTATTAAAGCCAGTGTAGTACGCTGTAATTTCACCTTGACTACGTTCATAATTTGGAAAACATGTATCAAAATTGGTTTTACCGAAAAACATTTATCACTTTGTATCTTCGACATAAACTAATTTTATAAAAATCATCAAAGAACAAAATATTGTTACTTTTAATCCTGGAAAACCCCTTGATGCGTTGGTGGTTTAATAAATTCGTTGTATATAACTTTTGTCGTTATAGAGACATTGTAGAAATGCTTTACAGAACTTACTTTTATTTATCCTTAATAAATCAGTTTCGCAAAATAATAATTATAATCAATAATGTCAGATCGACCTCTCATTTTTCCCATTCCAGCGATAGTAATACTAGGGGTTTTATACCGTGATATTATGGAGAGTTCTAATGATTATTAAATTATTGGCTCAATTAATTTAGCTCATTTAAATTTAAATTGTTCATTCTAGTAAGAATCACGAATAAAACAAATATTTTTTTACGAGAATTTTTTCCCAGAAAT